CCCCTGCCCCGTGCACCCCTGCCCCATGCACCCCTGCCCCGTGCACCCCTGCCGCGTGCACCCCTGCCCCGTGCACTTCCTGAGGTCACAGGGCCCGGCCCAGCTGCCCACTGTGCCTTGTGGCCATGGTCTGCTCCTGGCCCGAGTCTGGCTTGTCCCTGCCCCCAACCCTCTCCCCAGCTCAGCCCCCACTGGACACCCTTCAGGGTTCCCAAAGCCAGCCAGCTGCGGCAGTGACGCCTGGAAGGACATCTGGTGGCCCTTAGGGGAGCGGCCCCTGCTGAGCCCTGTGAACCGTGTCCTCCTCTTCCCTCAGGCAATGGCTGTGTGAACCGCTGGCTGCTGTCGTGCCCTCATCTCTGGGCACGTTGCCTGCTTCCCCCCAGCGCCGGCTTCTCTCCTGAGAGCACCTGTCACTCCATCCCCAGCAGGGAGGGACTGTCAGCTCACAAGGCCCTCTTTGTTTCCCGTTCCCAGACATAAGCCCAAGGGGCCCCTGCACCCAAGGCCCCCGTCCCTCGGTGGCCTCCCCAGACCCCTGGACACGACAGTTCTCATCAGGCCGGTGGGCTTTGTGGTCCTCACCACCCCTGGCCGCATCACCCGCTCCTCTTACACCTGCTGACCTTCGAATGTTGCAGAGCACAGGACCTATCTCCCTCGGGTCCTCTGGACCCACCCGCCTCTTCCTGCCCTGTCCGCGCAGGGACATCACCCACATGCCCCAGCTCTCAGACCCTGCACCTCTGTGTCCCTGGCCACAGCAAGGGTCCGTTCACCCCCTCCCTCCATTCCCAATTATCTGGGTCCTCTGGATGCTTGTTTCTTGAATCAGGTTCCCCTTGCCCCCTAGCCACCATAGGCAGCCTCTGACAGTGTCTCTTTGTCTTCTGCGGCGATTAAACGTGTCCTTTTGATCCTTGCCCGACTTCTTCTCCCAGCTCCTGGCCCCTGGCCCAGGGCCCTGCTTGCTGTTTTTCTCTCTGTTCCTCGGGGCGTAGTACACAGCAAGCACCCAAATGGGGGAGGTTTTGGAATGAGAGGAGGAAACATGGATACCTGTAACATCTGGTGGCTCTTCCCCCAGCAGTTTGTGTGTTTGTACGTAATTGTTTTCCACCCTGGATCGCAGCGTGACGTGACGTGCAGTTTTGCCCTGTGCTGAGGAGCCACATGAATCTTCCCCTGGCTGTTGCCGCCCCACAGCATTCCCAGTGTAACCGTCCCCTTGCTGACAAATGGGTCTGTGCTCATCTGTATTGATTTCCTTGGAGTTCTGCAAGTGGCACTTAAGTGTCAAAAAGAGTATGTGGTTTTTGGCCGGTCGCGGTGGCTTACAACTGTAATCCCAGCACTTTGGGAGGCCAAGATGGGAGGATTACGAGGTCCGGAGTTCGGGACTAGCTTGTCCAACATGGTGAAACCCTGTCTTTACTGAAAATACAGAAGTTATTCTGGGTGTGGTGGCGGGCGCCTGTAGTCCCAGCTACTCGGGAGGCTGAGGCAAGAGAATGGCGTGAACCCGGGAGGCAGAGCTTGCAGTGAGCCGAGATCGTGCCCCTGCACTCCAGCCTGGGCGACAGAGTGAGACTGTGTCTTGGGGGAAAAAAAAATATGTTTTTTTTTTTTTTTTTTTTTT